GCAAGCTCTGCCTCCCAGGTTCACACCATTCTTCTGCCTCAGCCTCCCAAGTAGCTGGGACTACAGGCGCCCACCACCACGCCCGGCTAATGTTTTTTGTATTTTTAGTAGAGATGGGGTTACACCGTGTTAACCAGGATGGTCTCGATCTTCTGACCTTGTGATCCACCTGCCTCGGCCTCCCAGAGTGCTGGAATTACAGGCGTGAGCCACCGCGCCTGGCCTTTTGTTTGTTTTATTTTGAGACAGGGTCTTACTCTGTTGCCCAGGCTGAAGTATGCAGCGTGATCATGACTCACTGCAGCCTCGAAACTCCCTGACTCGAGCGAGCCTCAGCCTCCCCAGTAGCTGAGACTACAAGCACATGCCCACCACATTTGGCTAATGAAAAATTTTTTTTTTTGGTAGAGGGTTTTTTTTTTGGTAGGGGGTTTTACTTTGGTAGAGGGTTTTTTTTGGTAGGGGGTTTTACTTTGTTGCCCAGGTGGGTCTCAAACTCCTCGGTTCAAGGGATCCATCCCCCTTAGCCTCCCAAAGTGCTGGGATTATAGGCATAAGCTACCGCATCTGACTGTCAAGAGTTTTAGTCATAAGTGGGTACTGGATGTTGTCTGATGCTTTTTCTGTATCTAATGAGATGATCATGTTCTCACCCTTTAGTCTATTAATATGGTATATTAACATTAGTTGATGTTTAGATGTTCAAACAACCTTGCATTTATTCCTGGAATAAAATCCTACTTGGTTATGGTGTATAATCATTTTTATTTGTTGTGGTATTCAATTTGCTGGTATTTCGTTCAGGATTTTTGCATCTCTATTCCCGAGGAACTTGATCTGTAGTTTTGTTTTTCTCTCGTGTCTCTCAGGGTAATTCTGGCCTCCTTAAACGATTTGTGATGCGCTCCCTTTTCGCCTATTTTCTGAAAGAGTTTTTGAAACTTTGTTATTTTTTAAAATGTTTGGTAGAATTCACTGGTGAAGCCATTTGGGCTTCAGCTTTCCTTTGTGGAAAATTTTTTGTAAGAATTTTTTCTTTTCAGTTTACTCAGATTTTCTATTTCTTTTTGAGTTAATTTTGGTACTTTGTGGCTTTTTAGGAATTTATTCATTTTATCATTTACATTATCTAAGGGTTTTCAAAGTATTCCCTTATAATCCTTTTGATTTCTATAAAGTCAGTAGTGATATCCCCTCTTTCTTTTTTTTTTTTTGAGACGGAGTTTTGCTCTGTCGCCCAGGCTGGAGTGCGGTGGTGCGATTTCGGCTCACTGCAACCTCTGCCTCGCAGGTTCAAGTGATTCTCCTGTCTCAGCCCCCAGAGTAGCTGGAATTGTAATTGGCGTGTGCCACCATGCCCGGCTAATTTTTGTATTTTTAGTAGAGATGGAGTTTTACCATGTTGGCCAGGCTAGTCTTGAGCTCCTGACCTCAGATAATCCCCCTGCCGCTGCTTCCTAAAGTGCTGAGATTACAGGCTTGAGCCACCGCACCCGGTGCCCTCTTTCATTTCTGATTTTAGGAATTTGTGTTTTCTCCCTTTTTTCTTGATCAGTTTGGCTAAAGGTTCATCAATTTTGTTGATTTTTTTCTAAGAACCAACGTTTGGTTTCATTGGCTTTTCTGTTTTTTTTTTTTTTAATTTTATTTCCACATCAGTATTTATTTTTTCGTTCCTTCTGCTTGCTTTGGGTTTAGTTTACTCTTACATTATTATCTTTTAAACAATGTCAGTCACTTAATTCACAGCTGAAATTATTTAGCTACTTCAAATTGTAGTAATAATAATTTCTATTGATGTTAATTTTTTACATATCCTACAAGCTGTTTTAATAACTGATTTTAAAGCAAAGATTTTTTAAAAATCAAAGTAGGCCTGTCATTCTTATATGTTAGGTTTGTCATTCCATTGAATTTTACTTAGAATTAACTCATTGTAAACAGAAATGTAAAAAACTGTTTTAAACATTAACATAGCCACTCTTAGGCTTAAGCCACTTGAGCCTTTGACCTGCTCAAGAATGTCTTTGCATTTTGTAGTTTAGGCTACAGGTATAGGGTAGCGAATTTCATCTTCCACACAAACAGGTCCCGGTTCAACAGCAGGAAGAGCCTTTCTAGGGCTTTACTTCTCTTTGGTTGGCCAGGGTTTTCCCTAACAGTCAGGATAGGATAAACTGTGTTGTGGTAAGAGTCCCAAAAATCTCAGTTTCTTAAAACAACAAAAGCTTGTTTCTCCGTCATACTACATATTTATCATGGTTTGGCAGGAGTCTTAGCTAGTTATAGTCACTCAAGGACCCAGGCTGATGGAGCAGCTGGTAGCTCAAATGTTTGTGAGCCCTGTGCTAGCAGGAAAATGAACTCTGGAAGAGCTTGCACTAGCAGTTAAGTGCTGTGGCCTGGAGGTGACACACGTCACATCCTGTCACAGCTGATTGGCCAGAGTTAGTCACAAGTCATTCATTGGCCCAAGTTATGTTCCCAACCATAGGGGGCTCTGAAGTGAATGCTTTCCTTAATGAAGAGAGCTGGAAATATTGGGTGTAAACACTGAAGGCTACCATGCCACTCTAGTTCAGGCCACGATCATTGGACTGCTAGATTAGCTGTTGATCAGGTCTCCTGGTTTAGCTGCTTTTGTGTTCATTCTTCATACGGCAGTGATTTTTCTCATTAGATCATGTTGCTTTCTGCTCAAGCTAATCGTTACTGTTTTTTAGATACAGTCCATGTTTTACTGCAGGCCACGTGTCTACCTGATCTGGCCTCTAATTATCTCTTAGGCATGGTATCATGCTGTTCTCCTTGTACTCTGTCCTAGTGATACTGACTTGTAGCTCCTCCAACATGCTTTATTTTCTCTTGCCTCTTGGCTTCATATTAATATTCATATTATATCATAATATTCATATTATTTCCTCTTCCTGGAATATTATTTCTTATCTCCTACCCTCTTTTGGTTCTGTCCTGTTAAAGTTTCAGCTTAAAAGTCATATTATTCTCATTCTTCAGTGTGAATTTAGTGTATAACCTTTGAGTTCCCGTAGCACTCTTTCTGACAGAGCTCCCAATGTGCTCCATTGTAATGACGTGGTTCCTTGTTTGCCATTCTGCCCTCAGTATCTGGCCCAATTGCTGACATGTAGTAAGCACTCAATAAATATTTGTTGGATGACTAAATAAATTACAGCATAGGGTGGGGGAGAAAGTTGATAATGTACACTATTAAAAAATCTGGTTATTAAAGGACTTGCATACTTCCCATCTATTGCCAAGAATCCAACGTTCATGAAAATGTATATGGTTTTAACAGTGCTCAGTTCCTGGTTACCAAAGTATTTTATATACCCAAGCTTCACAAGTCCTTTTAAAGTTGGTTACATTATTTGTGTTTCTAATGTGAGAATAAATATAAAAAAAACTTTGTGGAAGAGTTATTTCAGACTGGCAGTTAAGATTCTTTTTTTTGTTTGTTTGAGATGGAGTTTCACTCTTGTTGAGGCTGGAGTGTGATGGCGTGATCTCGGCTCACTGCAACTTCTGCCTCCCAGGTTCAAGTGATTCTCCTGCCTCAGCCTCCCAAGTAGCTGGGATTACAGGGGCCCCACCCCCATGTCTGGCTAATTTTTTTTTTTTTGTATTTTTAGTAGAGATGGGGTTTCACCATGTCAACCAGGCTGGTCTCGAACTCCTGACCTCAGGTGATCCACCTGCCTCAGCCTCCCCAAGTGCAGGTGTGAGCCATTGCACCCGGCCAAGATTCTTTAAATTGAAAATAACAGATTTCCTCTCTTTACCACACAGTTATTTATTATACACAAAAAATTCCATCAGTAATGGAGATTTAAAAAAAAAGTCTTTTATAATACCTCGTGCTTTTTTTGTCCCCAGAGCCCTCTTAATATACCAGCTATTCTAATTCTCCATATTTGTTTTCAAACCTTACTCATATGTATATTAATTTATAATATCATCAATAATTGTACTAAAACTTTTATATGCTGAATTTATTTACTTTTAAATACTTTTCTATCTTGCCAGAATTTTCAGTTGCCTTTTTGTTGTTGTTGTTGCCGAGATGGAGTCTTGCTCTGTCACCCAGGCTAGAGTGCAGTGGTGTAATCTTGGCTCACTGCAACCTCTGCCTCCTGGGTTCAAGCAGTTCTCCTGCCTCAGCCTCCCAAGTAGCTGGGATTATAGGTGCCCCCCACTGCGCCCGGCTAATTTCTGTATTTTTAGTATAGATGGAGTTTCACCATCTTGGCCAGGCTGGTCTCGAACTCCTGACTGTGATCGATCCGCCTTGGCCTTCCAAAGTGCTGGGATTACAGACATGAGCCACTGTGCCCGGCCTTCAGTTGCTTTTTAATAATTCATTAAGTCGATGTGCCACATTTAGTTAAAGGCTTAGTTAACTATTTTCCATTTTTTGTTATTTTGAGTAATGCTGTTGTAAAAATCTTTGTACTTTGAGCTTTTTATATTTGAACTAAGTGCTCAGGATACATTTCCAGGAGTGGCATTTCTGACTTAGGGGTAGTATACTGGTTAAGAGCATGCTTTGGTTTGCTCATGGGTGATAGCAAAATAGTGTTAGGGGGTCACAAAATATATAGCCCTTGGAATTCAAAGAAATAAAACTACCATATTTCTCAACAGGTGTTGAGTGGCCCTATCTTTTGAACTTTTTTTTTCTTTTTTTTTTTGGTATTTTCACCTTTTTTTTTTTTTTTAGTCTTTCTTCCTTGGTTATCTTAGCCTTTGAGGTATAAATAAGAGAGGTAAAATGAAAGAACAAACTCAGGAAATGAAGGGGTGTAGTAGTAAGTTTTAGTTTGAAAATAGACTAAGCCTTTCCTATATCATGCATTTCTAACTAAACAGTAAGTCAGTTTTGTGAGAATTTTATGCAAATATATATATAAGTGGAAGTATTTTACTTTGGGCTTAGAAACACATTTTAAATAGCATTTTTGTTACCAACACACTATTTTTTGGTCTACGTGAATTGGTTAGGTATAAAATTATCTTAGCATCATTAGCCTTGCTTGTGTTTTCCAGCTTAGCTTTCTTTTGCTGTTTAATATTGAACTCTAGGAATCTTTTATCCAGTTTTCGAAGTGTCAGTATTAAACAGATTGATAAATTCACATTTTTGAAGTTTTACTGTATATTTAATGACATGGCTACACACAGAAACAGTGCATATTTAACTTGTTTTTCCTCTTGTACTAGAAATCTTTTAACTTTTCAGTCAGAATTTGTTTTGTAGCAACAGTTGGCTTCAGAAGATTTTTTTTTCTCGGAAGAGGTTGAGCTGCTTTCAGAGATTTTGTTCATCTTCTGTAGAGTGTTAGACCACTTCAGTTTCACGTTTTCTGATGTTGTCCATCATGCTTCTAAGAGGGTTGGGTTCACTTTTCAAGTCTTTCACGGTTTTGTTTTTTACACAGCAGCAGCAGTCAAGCACTTCATAAAGGAAAGCCAGCACCACTAAAGATACCACTGTAAATATAAATAAAAGCAGGATGACAAAACAGGCAGTGTTCCAGTTGTCATGGAAAGGGTAAATTTTTTGAACTTGAAAACCAAGGTACTGATAAACAGAGGTAGTGGTTTCATTCCAGAGGCTGGAAGCCATTCTTAGAGATTCCACTTCTTATATTCCTCTTTTGAATCTATAAAAAAGGTAGAAAATGAATTTATGTAAGCAAACTACAGATCTATTAATTCAAATCTCAGTAGTAAGATTTCTTAGTAAATTTGTATAGGCAAGATGAATCTTCCTTAATTAATGCCTAAATGGTCGTTTTGAATTTTTTTGTATATCTGGGCCAACGTACTTAGTAAACTATACCCTGTTTTTTAATGTATATTATTTGCTAGATGAATATATATATATATATTTAAGATTCAGGCCAGACATGGTGGCTCACGCCTATAATCCCAGCACTTTGGGAGAGCGAGGTAGGCAGATCACTTGAGCCCAGGAGTTCAAGACCAGCCTGGTCAACATGGCGAAACCCGTCTCTACAAAACATACAAAAATTAGCCAGGCATGGTGGTGCGTGCCTGTAGTCCCAGCTGCTTGGGAGGCTAAGCCAGGAAGATTGCTTGAGCCAGGGAGGCACAGGTTGTGGTGAGCCAAGATCGTGCCGCTGCACTCTAGCCTGGACAATGGGAATGAAACCTTGTCTCAAAAAAAAAAAAAAATTCTTATACAGAAATTAACTGCTAATGGAAGGGGAAAAGGCAGCTGAATTGATTTAAAACTTGATTAAAGCAGTGGTCAGTGAGCTATTATCTACAACAAATCTTGGCGTTTTAAGGTTATGTTCTTCAAACTGCCCCTGGAAAAGCTTTTATCATTAGCCTCGTGAGTTCTTCTTACCTTTTTGGTTCAGTGTATTTCTGTCTCCTGTTTCCCCTCCTTTAAACTTTGTTGACAGTTTATCTGTTGATCTGAATCAGGAAATAGTGGCTGAGTGAAAAATAGTAGAGAAAGAAAAGCCAAATAATGCCAGTTTTCAGAATGAGGATAATAAAATTTTAGCTTAGAGTTGTCTGTGAAAAGACCCTAATCTTGGGGTTGCAGATGTTAGTCTTAAGTGTTTCGTATACCTAAGTGACCCATAGACATAAATATTTTTAAAAACAGACAAATTCAGCCCTCCCAAAGGTATCAGTTATTAAATTATTGTTCCATTTCACAGAATAAGCTAGTGAGTTCAAGTTTCAGTGTTCTTGAATTAAGTTTAGCTCTTGTTGACCTGGTACTTGTTAGCTCTTATATGGGGACTGTTAGAATCAAAGATTTGTTAGTATGGAACTACAGTAATGAGGAACTAAATTAGTTTTTACTATCTTGATCTCTAACAGATATTTTAACACTTAGGTTTTAAAAATTATAAAATAACCTGTGCACTAAGAACATTTTGGAAATAAGAGAAGAAATGTAGTTCCACTTCAATAATTTATCGATTGTCATTCTGTATGCTTTTTCTTTACTACTTAGTTGTAAACAGGATTTTATTTTTATAACAAATGCTTATTGATTACCTAATGTGTACCAAATATTTTTGTAAATTCTGGAGATACCTTGTGTGTGAGAGTGTTTCATTTAATGAAAACTACAAAATAGTATGAACCCCATGTACTTTATTTTTTTTTTCTTACTAGCCTTGTAGATACAGGGCCTCAAAAATTGGGTTAAGGCTTAGAATTGTTCCTCTTCAAAGAAATCTTTAGTAAAGGGTGAGAGATTTGTATGATCTGAAGAGAAACCAGAGTATCCCATGTACTTTTTTTTTTTTTTTTTGAGACAGAGTCTCGGCCTATCCCCCAGGCTGGAGTGCAATGATGCGATCTCAGCTCACTACAACCTCTACCTCCTGGGTTCAAGTGATTCTCCTGCCTCAGCCTCCTGAGTAGCTGGGGTTACAGGTGCATGCCACCATGCCCGGCTAATTTTTGTATTTTTAGTAGAGATGGGGTTTCACCATGTTGGTCAGGCTGGTCTCGAACTCCTGACCTTGTGATCTACCTTCCTTGGCCTCCTAAAGTGCTGGGATTACAAGGCGGGAGCCAGTGTGTCCCCGGCCTCCCATGTACTTATAATTCAACTTCATTCATCAACTCTTGGCCCATCTCTACCTCTACCCGTTTGCTTCCACCCCATTGGCTTTTTTAAAGCAAATTCAAGACATCATTCACCTAGAAATATTTCGGTATATATCTCCCAATGGTGAGGACTCTATTTTTAAACATAACCACAGTATTATTGTCACACCCCAAACTCAAAGCCATGACAATATAATTCCTTAAATTTCTTTGTTTTATTAATAAATAAAAAATTTTGGGTTGATAAAATTATGTTTTCTAAGGTTTTTGTTTTCTTAGGTTTACTTTGTGAATCACTTCACCTCTGGATGGACTTGCCTCCTTCCTTTTTTCCTGCATTTTGAAGGTTAAAGTGATGATCTGAGCCAGAGTAAAGACTTAAATACATGTTTTCTTTTGGATTTAAGAATCCTGTTTTATCGTACTTGGTGACCCTTTGTCTTGAAGTTAGAGACAGACTGATGGGCAGTAATAGAATCAGTTGCTTCTTTTAGTTCAGGATCATGCAGAAATACATGGTGTGGAACAGAGATGTGTAACTTCCTATTACATTACAGTTTTTTCAGACTATACTCAGCGTTTCAAAACTTATCCTTTTATCCTTTGTATTTCCTCTTCAGAGTACTTCTTATAGAAAGTAGGGATGCTACCTTGCACAGTTCCAGGGAGCACCATTTGTATTGTGTTGTGGGGTGACATTCATGTAGAATATGATATAAGCGGTACCCCTTGTCTAATGTGAATATCCTAATAGGCTACAGCCCCTCCAACTTCTGGCTTGTTGCTGCCTCTAATTCTCATCAGCATGCACACAAATATTCAATTAACTCGTAGAAACTTATTTTTATTTTTTTGAGACAGAGTTTCAGTCTTGTTGCTCAGGCTGGAGTGCCGTGGGTGGCGTGATCTCGGCTCACTGCAACCTTCCCCTCCCAGGTTCAAACGAATTCTCCTGCCTCAGCCTCCTGAAGTAGCTGGGATTACAGGCGCCTGCCACCATGCACAGCAATTTTTTTTTTTTTTTTTTTTGTATTTTTAGTAGAAATGGGATTTCACCATGTTGGCCAGGCTAGTCTTGAACTCCTGACTCCAGGTGATGTACCCACCTTGGTCTCCCAAGTGCTGGGATTACAGGCGTGAGCCACCACGCCTGCCCAGAAACTTATTTAAATGGAGACAAAAGTTAGGTCCTCTTTGACCCAGCTTCCCTAATAGAGTGGTGTCATGCATACATGCCCACATTCAAATGCCTTAAAAATGCTCAGCTTTTGGAGATCCTTTAAGATTTTTAGCATTGCCAAAATACAGATATTCCTGTGAGGGGTAGCACACATTATTTTTACTTAAGTGTAAATGAGTTTCAGGTCATTTTTGAAGAACAGAGTTAATGAGAGTGAGAGGGAGAAGAACAGACCTTTTGGGAAACCCAGTGCGCTGCACTTGTGTGGGTGGGCAAAGAGCAGAAGGAATTGTTTGGGCGTTTGTCCAGTCACTTTACCTGGGCTAGTTGAGGATCACCCCAGCATTTATGGAAATATTCCTTAGACTTTCTGTTAAGGCCTTCCAGGTCGAACCCTTTTTAAAATCTGGAAATTTCTTTTGAATCCTTCTCTTCTAAACCTGGCATTAGAAGTAACTGCGAGGAGAAGGATGATAGAGAAAAGAGACTAGAGAGAAGCATTTCCTACATTCTGCCTCTCAGCTTAATCTGCCTTATTGGTGAAGTTAATGTTAATTTAAAATGTTTACTATTGATTTAAGTAACATTATTATAGTCTTTATTTATTTATTTATTTTTTAGACAGAGTCTCACTGTGTTGCCCAGGCTGGAGTGCAATGGTGCAATCTCGGCTCACTGCAACCTCTGCCTCCTGGTTTGAAGTGATTCTCCTGCTTCAGTCTTCCTGGTAGCTGGGATTACAGGCACCTACCACCATGCCTGGCTAATTTTTGTATTTTTACTAGAGACAGGGTTTTACCATGTTGGCCAGGCTAGACTCGAACTCCTGACTTCATGTGATCTACCCACGTGAGCCACCACACCTGGCCTTATTATAGCAATTTTATTTTTATTTTTATTTTTGAAACGGGGTCTCGCTCTGTCGCCCAGGCTGGAGTGCAGTGGCGTGATCTCGGCTCACTGCAAGCTCCGCCCCCCAGGTTCATGCCATTCTCCTGCCTCAGCCTCCTGTGTAGCTGGGACTACAGGCGCCTGCCACCACGCCTGGCTAATTTTTTTTTGTATTTTTAGTAGAGACGGGGTTTCACCTTGTTAGCCAGGATGGTCTCGATTTCCTGACCTCATGATCCGTGTGCCTCGGCCTCCCAAAGTGCTGGGATTACAGGCATGAGCCACCACGCCCAGCAGCAATTTTAAATAAATAAAAGTGCCTCTCAGTTGTGTCTCCTTAACATAATATCCCTTTAGTGTTTTTTCTTTTCTTCTAGAAATTGGCTATATAAATCTATAACTTGGATCTGGTTGAAATTATGCTGAAGTCATTACTTTGTATTTTAATTTATTGTGAGTAGACCTTTTTTGTTTGTATGGACTTTTGGGGAGAACTTATAAAGATCAAGTTGCCATTTCAAAATGGCATTTTAGAATGGGCCGGGCACAGTGGCTCACACTTGTAATCCTAGCACTTTGCGGGGCTAAGGCGGGCGGATCACCTGAGGTCAGGAGTTTGAGACCAGCCTGACCAACATGGAGAAACCCAGTCTCTACTAAAAATATAAAATTAGCTGGGCATGGTGGTGCATGCCTGTAATCCCAGCTACTTGGGAGGCTGAGGCAGGAGAATCGCTTGAATCCGGATGGCGGAGATTGCGGTGAGCCAAGATTGTGCCATTGCACTCCAGCGTGGAGTGAAACTCCATCTCCAAAAAAAAAAAAAAAAAGATATCTTATCTACTTTTGAGGTACAAGTGAACTGCTTAAAATATTTTCAGGTCCCCTGGCCTCAAAAATAGAAAGAGGCAGTCAGGAAGGCAGACAGATACATAACTAAATTCAGTTATTTGAGGTTAACTTGTGTCCATTAATGAACTATTCTTCTGGTTAAATTAATATGGTATATCCACACAATTGAATCATAGGTAACTGAGTTTTAGGAAAGATATTTAGGATATGTTCTTAAGTGAAAAAAACAAGGTGTAGGACAATGTATATAGGAAAAGGGGAAATATATACTCTTATTTGCTTGTATCTGTACAGAAATCTTGGAAAGACCTACAAGAAATTAATCACAATGATGGTGTGGATGGGGATCCATAGGGAGGAGAGTGAGGCACAGGGATATGTTTGAGGCTTCTTAACCTGTACCTTGTGTTCTTTTGTTTTTTTCAACCATTTGAATATATTATTTATTTGAAACCTAAATAAATCATCTGTTTTTAAAAGGAGAAATAAAAAGTACTGTTCCTTATTCTTGGCTCTTTTAAAAGTCTGTTGTTAGCCAACAATATGGAGTAGTATGGAGAAACCATTCTTTTATTCCTTTCCTTTTTTTTTTTTTTTTTTGGCTTTTATCCTTTAATTCAAAAAGATAAAATCCCTTTGTGTTTTCAAAATGTAACACATCTAGTTAAATCAACTATCAATATTGACTTATTTGATGCACTATAATACAAAACTTTAGCCTAATAAAACTTATAAAGTACTGCTGAGTATTCCTTTGCTTTCTTAATAAACCTGCTTTCACTTAAAGCCTGTTGTTTATGTATCTATTTAATGCATTTATTGAGTATTCTGGGTTCCAAAAAATTCAAATTGGGATTAGGAAACACTGTCATTCTTATTAGACTGTATACTTTATTCACACATAAAAATGCTTATAATAATTATGCTTGGCCAGATGCAGTGGCTCATGCCTGTAACCTCAGCACTTTGGGAGACTGAGGCAGGAGGATCACTTGAGCCCAGGAGTTTGCTTTTGGTTTGAAACAGAGTCTGGCTCTGTCACCCAGGCTGGAGTGCAGCGGCACAATCTTAACTCATTGCAACGTCTGCCTCCCGGTTCAAGTGATTCTCCTGCCTCAGCCTCCTGAGTAGCTGGGATTACAGATGTGTACCATCACGCCCAGCTAATTTTTGTATTTTTAGTAGAGATGGGGTTTCACCGTGTTGGCCAGGGTGGTCTTGAACTCCTCACCTCAGGTAATCCACCCACCTTGGCTTCCCAAAAGTGCTTGGATTACAGGCGTGAGCCACCGTGCCTGGCCAAGCCCAGGAGTTTGAGACCAGCCTGGGCAATGTGGGGAGGCCCTGTCTCTACAAAAATAAAAATTAGCTGGGCATGATAACCTGCACCTGTAGTCTCAGCTACTTGGGAGGCTCAGGTGGGAGGATAGCTTGAGCCTAGGAGGTTAAGGTTGTAGTGAGCTGTGATTTCTCCACTGCACTCCAGCCTGAGTGATAGAGTGAGTCCCTGTCTCAGAAAAAAAAACCAAAACAAAACAAATTACGCTTGTGGTAATGACTATGGGTAACGCCATAGGCTACCTCCAAAGGCACTTATATGCTTTGCTGGAAGTGTATAAGCAGTTTAAGAAAGTGTATAGGTCAGGTTTATGTTGTAAATGATGATGATTTGTCTTATGAGTGTATTGATAACTGAACGGCTCAAAACATTGATTGTTTGTTAGCTTCTGGGCATATCTGAAAAAAGTAAACACTGTAATATGGAGTCATTTACCACCTTAAATTTAGTGTGGCACGTCTTTCAAAGTATGGTAGAGCTCTGGTAATTTTTGATGTTTAATTTAGGGTAAAGGCTAAATCTTACTTTCATGGATTAGGCATAATTAAGCATGCAGAAAGAAATATACCATTAGGCCTGTAGTCCTAGCACTCCGGGAGGCTGAGGTGGGCAGATCACCTGAGGTTATAAGTTCAAGACTGGCCTGACCAACGTGGCGAAGCTCCATCTCTACTAAAAACACAAAAATTAGCGGTTGTGATGGCAGGCGTGTGTAATCACAGCTTCTCAGGTGGCCAAGGCAGGAGAATCTCATGAACCTGGGTGGCAGAGGTTGCAGTGAGCCACGATTGTGCCACTGCAGTGTAGCACTCTAGCTTGGGCAATAGAGTGAGACTCCGTCCCCCCCGCCAAAAAAGAGAAATATATCATTAGGATTTTCTCCTATCCTGAGACTTAGTTTTGAAATTAAAATGTAAGTTTATATTAAGCAAATGCTATAAACATTCTGTATGAAAAACAAGAGAAAATCGTGTTTTTTTTTTAAAAAAAGTAAAACAGTCTTTTTCTGGACTTCCCTACCCATGCTTTATAATTTGATTACAGGAATGGGGAGCTTTAAAGTAAATCACATAATTTTTTTTAGTGTATGTGTTTTAGTTTTGTTTTATGTTAATTTTGATATGTTTTCTCCCATTTCCAAAGGCCCTAGTGGAGTGTTGATGGGGATGGGACTTGGAACTGTTCTGGAATCTTTGGGTTGCCAGATGAGAATAAAATTATGCTTTTGCTGTATTTATGGTAAAAGCCTTTGAATTGAATTCTCAAGTGCTTTTAAGCATATCACTTTGAAATGTGATCAATTAATTGTAATAGCCTGTAAATATAGAGCAACTCAGTTAATTTAAGCTCTGGAACTTAGGCCATGTCTCTAGTCAGTTTGGTGAAATAGCAATGAGTCTCCATCTGTGCTAACAATAGACATATTCCTAGCAAAATGTAGGCTGATGATAAGGGTGTTGAAACAATGTGGGTGGTAGGGGTTTCTGTTTACAGTTTACCTGAAATTTGAGTTGTAAGTTAACTGTTTTATTTGACAAAGTTATTTTTATTTTATCTGAGACTTTTCTTTGGTGCTTGTGTACTTTCTGTAGCAAGCACAAATGGTTTCTAGGTAATTAACCCCACTGTGCTGAACGTGGACAGATCTAATATCTTGTTACAGCAACCTCTGGATTTTGCAGGGGATACTTTGCTCAGGCTAACTGAATGCCGACTAAGAAAAGTAATAGAAATTATGAAGAAAAAAAAGCAAACCCTTTAAAGATTAAATAAACTTACTGGCAAGGTAAAAGGGCAGAAGTTGGCTCTTTAGGTCAGATATAGTATGTGTGTCCTGGAGTTCTAACATCTAGTAAATAACTAAATTTTCATGCTTGAATAGTATAAAATTAGAAATTTGGTTAGCAGTTGATACTAATTTTTAATAGACATGAACGATTGCTCTGAGCCACGAAGATAATCTTGTTACCTAGAAAGGTACTTACTCTCCTTTCTTAACCGGTTCTTCTTAGGACATATTTTTGTTTTAAAATGCAGCTTATCAAAAGGGCTTACTTTGTATTTATTTTGAAGATCAGTTTAAGAATGACTGCAACATTATATTTAAATGGTGTGATAAATTGATATCAAAAATGAAAGGCTATTTAAGAAGGTTTTTGTTTAATAGCGTGACTTGTATATTATGAGAGGTAAATTTCACAGTGAAGAATTATTTTAATTAAAATGTTAAGGAAGTCTGAAGCTGTATAAATTATCTGTTTGGTTGTAGTATAATGCAGCCCATTTTGCGATACCTTTTATGGTCTTTTATATAAAAATTGTGATAATTTCTTAGCATTCTCTGCATCTACGTTCAAAGTAAAATAAAAATAATTTTGGAGTATATTCTCATATTCTAAAAAATGTAACAAAGTTTCTTATAAGTAACTGTTTTTTAGCAGCCAATATCATCTGCACATAGAATCAGAAAGCTTTAGTCTGGGATTCGCTTTTGGTCTAGGTTTTTCTTTAAGAAAAATCCTTTGTTAAGACAGACCAAACTGCAGAAATGAAATCTCTCAGAGAAAATGAAATTAGCAAGTAACCAGTTAAAATAAAAAGCTGTGGTTTACTGTAAGGTCTGGATATAGATCAGGTTCATGTAAAATGTAATGAATTTTCCATTAAGGCACAGATGGTAAGGGTGCTTATCAAATAGCACAAGGCAGTCTTCATATTTTCATAATAAAATCCTACCAAGCAGTGAAACGAATACATTGCTTTTTCTTGATATTTAGTAGTAGCAAAGCTTTCTGGTTGATTTTTCAGGGTAAAATATTTTCCTATTGCATCATAAGGACATGTACCACTAAATAAAAAAGATCATATAAACCTACCTCTTGTCTGAGAGGATGCTGTTGAAGCGATGGTATCGTCTGTTTGTAATGCAGTCTAGTGCACAGCCAAGATGGAGCTGTGCTTCTATTGGTCGAACCACAATGGAGCTGACAGTTTCCTCTATGTTCATTTGCATTAAGTCCTGCCACCCTTAAGAGTAAATCATTCATAAACTTGAATAGAACTGTCTGGGGTATCAACTGTCATCCCTTCTCCTTTATTTTTTTGTTCTTAATCTAAATTCCTATATAGGAATTTGTGAGTTACTAACAAATTGATGATTCTTTAGTTTTTCATTATAAAATTTCAGATCCTTCAGTGAATACTTCAGTGCTAGGGCTGGAAGGTAATGTCGGGAGAGGTAGTAACCTAGGAAACAAACAGTCCAGGTTTGCCAGCCTGATATTTCCTTCAGGAAGTGTGCTTAAAATCTCATATATTTTTATTTTCTTGTTCTTCCTTTTCTTTCATTACTTGTTCCATATATAAATTTTGCCCTCTGGAAGTGGTTATTTCCATGTGGTGGTTTGATTTAGGAGGAATTATGAAGGGAAAGAATTGACTTTTAGCCCTGCAAGTTGGAAAAGGGCTCATTTAGGTAAATATACTACCTGCCTTCAAAAAATAGTCTCTAAAATGTAGATGGCAAAGTGATCTCTAGGTTGGCTCTTTAGAGACAAGAGTATTTTTAGTTACTGTGTATTATTTAGAGTTGTGGTCTAAGCACAACAGAATGAAGGTTTTTAATTATGGGAGTGGCTATTACAACAGCAGCAGACCAGGTACATGCTATGTAGACTTGCTTTTTAAAATTACAGATGAAGGCTGGGTGCAGTGGCCCATGCCTGTAATCCCAGCACTTTGAAAGGCTGAGTCGGGTGAATCACAGGGTCAGGAGTTCAAGACCAGCCTGGCCAAGATGGTGAAACCCTGTCTCTACCAAAACTACAAAAATTAGCCAGGCACGGCAGCAGGCGCCTGTAATCCCAGCTACTCAGGAGGCTGAGGCAGGAGAATTGCTTGAACCCAGACGGCAGAGATTGCAGTGAGTTGAGATTGTGCCACTGCACTCCAGCCTGGGCGACAGAGACTCCATCTCAAATAAAGTAAAGTAAAATAAAATAAAACAAAATAAAATAAAATAAATAAAATAATCTGGCACATTAGTTTCTGGGGCCATAAAGGAAGTCATGGAAATATCTGTATTATAGTCATTCATTCAACAAATATTTATTGAGTGTTTACTAAGCTTGACATTAAGTTAGTAGTAGATACTAGAGACATAAGCATCATGTCTCATAAGCACAACTGTATGTGATTCATAATTGGCCGTTTGTGTGGTGTTGGTCCTTAATATATTGTCATCTCTTTTTTCATAGTCTTCCCAGTTGTGTACAGTATGGGGTAAGCTTAATATTATTTTACTAAATTTAAACAAGGAAACATTAATTGTGCAGTCACAGATTTCTGTACTTGGACAAAATGGCCAGTTTCAGATGGAATAATCTGTGTGTAAAGGCTGTTTATCACAGGGTTTACACTGGATTTGAATCTACTTTGCTGCTTACTACCCTCAATTTTATTGTGTTTAAAAGGGGACAGTAATACTTCTTAAGTTGGATTTTTGGGAGGGATTACATATGAGTATTTACCATGGTGTTTAGCAGATAATAAAGTTACTTTTATTATTACAGATATGCTGAACACCTTTGGAAAATGAACTACGTAGGTATTATTTCATAATTGAAATAGTTTATGGAAAAGTACCTGTAAGGCATTCTTTTTTTTTTTTTTTTTTTTTGAGACAGAGTCTCGCTCTGTCACCAGGCTGGAATGCAGTGGCGCTGTTTCGGCTCACTGCAACCTCCAACTCTCCGGTTCAAGTGATTCTCCCGAGTAGCTGAGACTACAGGTGTGTGCCATTATGCCCAGCTAATTTTTGTATTTTTAGTAGAGACAGGGTTTCACCGTGTTGGCCAGGATGGTCTTGATTTCCTGACCTCATGATCTGCCCACCTCCGCCTCCCAACTTTAAGGCATTCTTAATGTTATTGTTACTTTTGGAAACATGGTAGACTTCAGTATGCCAATTAATTAAGATTGTAACAAAGTTAGTTTTAAAGGAAAATTGCAAATGAATTTTCATTTTAGTCTCAAAAAAGCATACTCAATAAAGAGTTCACTAATCTCAAAGGATTATTATATTGCCATCTAGAAACTGTTCTTTTGGATCTCTGACAATTGTTACATTTGACTTGTGGTTGTTCTAATGCAATCTTTTGTTTAAATTATTATTACCAATCTGGTGCCAGAGATTGGTTCTCCCCTCCCCTTTTACTTAACCTCTCTCTTTGTGGATCAGCCACATGGGAACTTTATAATATCTGATCTCATGCCTTGCTAATAGAATGTGTACTTCTAAAATGTTTTTCTAGTATTTATGATGGATTTTTTACTGTTCCTGCTTATGACTAATGGAATGCGTTTGTGATGCATGGTGACATTAGGGTTTCTGCCTATAAGAATGCAACAAAGTGATAGATGTTCTGAAACAAATGATTTTTTTCTACAGGTTTTTCCACACCAGATAGAGAAGGAGAGGGGGATGTTTCTCAAAGTGGGTGGGCAGTGCTGTGATGCTTTTTAAAGTAAGCATCCCTGTTTATGCAGTGGCAGTGCCTATGGCTTTTTATTCCTAATTTATCTGTAAAGTTTACTTTAATTGCGGTATCTTTTTTTCTATTTGTTTCCATTAATTCCTTTTTTTTTGGTCTTAAATTGGTAAGCAGAAATTGATGTAATAATTGAACTTTTCATCCCTCAGAAGTAATCGACTCCTAGTGTTAGCTTTATTAATGGGATTGAGGTTTGTATTGTTCGCTTGTTTAATAAACTGTACTTCTGATTATGGAGCGAGTCTAATCAGAATTAAGATAAGAATGAGATAAAGGGGAAGGGGGCCCGGTGCGGTGGCTCACACCTGTAACCCCAGCACTTTGGGAGGCTGAAGTGGGTGAATTTCTTGAGCCCAAGAGTTTGAGACCAGCCTGGGCAACATGGCGAAACCCCATCTCTACAAAAAAAATACAAAAATTAGCCAGGCATGATGGTGTGCACCTGTAATCCCAGCCTCTCAGAAGGCTGAGGTGGGAGAATCACCTGAGCCTGGGAAGTCGAAGGTGCATTGAGCTGTGATTGTGCCGTTGAACTCCAGCCTGGGCAATGGGAATGCGACCCTGTCTCAAAAAATATAATAAAAAAGAATATGATAAAGATACTTATAAAATAATTGTGTTTTGGTGCTTTTAAGTGATTTATACTTTGTTTCTACCCTTAGTGAGAAAATTGTAGTTTAATTAATACAAAGATTTTGTATTTTTCACCAAAATTTTACGGGATAGAATATACTAGATGAAAAACTCAAGAAATATGTTATTAGCATTAAAATTATCTTAGCTGCTCAAGAGTCATAATCACGTATAATATGACGATGTTATTTTGAACTTCATTTCCAGATCATAGCAATGGATCATTTAACTTGAAAGCTCTGTCAGGAAGCTCTGGATATAAGTTTGGCGTTCTTGCTAAGATTGTGAATTACATGAAGGTAAGTACTTTTCTCAAATAAAAGTCCTATTTAACTTTTTGGCAAAAGAAGGGGATTAGGATTTTCAGAAGTTAAATTTCTGTATACACCAAAATGTATGAAAATTGTGCATTTTCAATATGTGCGTTTTATTGTATGCCAGTTATACCTTATATTAATTTGGCATTGTGGCAAGTTACCAAGGTATATTTAATCTGCATTAACTCAAGGGTACAATTTAAGCTCACCATTTCACTTAGTAAGAGTGTACCTAGGCAGTAGATATATCACCTCTTAATGAATACCGTCTGGCAAAACCAATGGGAGAATGTGATTGATTTTTCAGGATATTGCTTCCATTGATGTGAGAAGTAAGAAGTACATAGTTCGAGCAGATGGTGTGATGGCTTCTCTGTATCTTGGAGGAGAAAATTAAGTCTTAGAAAAACATTGACCCACAAAAGAATTAGAATTTAATGTTTTGGTAGAAGATTTAGTATTTTTTGAATACTAAGTTTTGATCATGTAAGATTTTGGCTTTACTTTCAATCTTTTTTTTTTTTTTTTGAGACAGTCTTGCTCCATTACCCAGGCTAGAGTGTGGTGGCACGATCGTTGCTCACTGCAGCCTTGAAGTCCTGTTGTCAAGTGATCCTCCTGACTCAGCCTCCCGAGTAACGGGGACTACAGGCATGCACCACCATGCCTGGCTAATTTTCTTATTTTTAGAAGAGACGAAGTCTCACTGTGTTGCCCAGGCTGGTCTCGAACTCCTAAGCTCATGTGATTTTCCCACCTCAGCCTCCCAAAGTGTTTGGCTTACAGGCATAAGCCACTATGCCCAACCAAAACTTTGAATCTTTTTTTTTTTTTTTTTGAGACGGAGTCTCGCTCTGTCGCCCAGGCTGGAATGCAGTGGCCGGATCTCAGCTCACTGCAAGCTCCGCCTCCTGGGTTTACGCCATTCTCCTGCCTCAGCCTCCCGAGTAGCTGGGACTACAGGCGCCCGCCACCTCACCTGGCTAGTTTTTTGTGTTTTTTAGTAGAGACGGGGTTTCACTGTGTTAGCCAGGATGGTCTCGATCTCCTGACCTTGTGATCCACCCGTCTCGGCCTCCCAAAGTGCTGGGATTACAGGCTTGAGCCGTCGCACCTGGCCAGACCAAAACTTTGAATCTTAACTAAATTTATTAAAGCGGGATTTCATTTTTAGCTAAGATGTAATTTCAAATTTGCTCCCTTCTTCTGCCAAACTCTTAGTCACAATTAGTTACTAGTTGCATCTCTTGAAAAAGTCAGACAGTACTATATTTGTTATTTTAATTTCATCCATCTGTTGGTTAAAATATATATCAGATTTTTAACTGTGCTAAGGCTTTTCTTTTGTAATTTAATAGACTTGGTGTCTAGCTGAGTCTAAATTCTGTGGCTTGTATTTGAGTTATAGTATAAATATGTTAGTTTATAACTCCCCATTATTAAATAATATATTTTGACACTTAAGTATTCACCATTCA